TATGTTTTTTGCAATCAAATCTTTTATGATTATCGATCTGTGTTTCTTGTGTCGTGTTGGCCGCTCTTTTTAATACTTCTCATAACGGTTTTCTGTGGCTGGATTTATTTTAATAATTTTCCCATTAATCTCTTGGCCTCTATCAAAATTAATGACGCATTCAACACAACACAGGATGGAACAGAGTATGTATCGGGGCACTGACCATGTTTAAACGTTTAATTGCAGGAAATTATAGGAAATTATAGGATGGTGATTTGGAGGAACTACTAATTAGATAATAATTATTAAAATTCTTAATCTACTAAAAATTGAATGGTTGAGAAAATAATTAAAAAAAGAAACGGAATAAAAATTATGTTTTAAAATAATAAAATGATTTTATGATCAGTTCCAATGAGTATCGAACCCAGAATTAACTAGTCAAGATTCAGTAAAGTTGAGCAAATCCAAGATGCCTTAACTTATTCACTTACCGCCGATTAGAAGATGTTACATTCTTCCTAAAACTAGATCTTCTACTAATTCACGCTGCACTAATTTCCACCACTGACTAGATGCGTACGCTCCGAACACACAAACCTGAACTAAAATTTCGTCAACGGCGCAAGACTCCACACATACCTTCCATTTTTAGTCGCACACTCAAAGAAAAAAAATAAACAATACAATCCAGACTTTCCACCCAATAGCACCCACGCCTTCCTAAAAAAAAAAATAAATAATAAAAACTGGAGCCGATTTGAGCTCAAGAAAGGATATAAAAGTCCATCACAGGGACATTTTCGGCAGTTGGACGGCAGCTTGGTCCGGGTTCGCAGATTTCGTCGGAAAGTAACCTTCCATATCCAAGAGACATCTAGCCAAAGGCTGTCACCCCAGAAAGTCACAACTTATCCTTCCTCTCCTTCCATATGTCTCACCGGACGCCTTTTACAACTCCACTTATCACTTTTTTTTTCAACGAGAGACATATACACTAATTTATCATTTGTTGTATTTTACGTTAATACAATTGTTTATTTCATTAAACCTTCGTTATTTCTTCTTTGTTCTGCCACCTTATGCTTATTATAACAAAGACATGATTAATATGTTGTCCGAATTTCTTTAGTCCTGAGAAATTAAGTTCAGAGCTTTGTTTACATTATACTATCTGTTCAAAATGTGTGTAGTTTTACAGAAAATAACGATTCAAATTTTCTAAACAAAGAAAGAGGCATCTGTTTTCCAGGACTTGGGTTTGTTTACATTATACTATCTGTCCAAAACGTGTTTGTTCTTACAAATTATTCTAGACAAAGAAGAATTTTGAATTTTTTTAATTCCCAAGCTGAAGATTTGTTTAGGTTGATCGCCCGAGAACACAATTATCTTTATAGAAAGATATCTAGAAAGATTCTAAACAAAGAGAGTTCCATATGGTTAATTGGAAAATCTCCTAAGATTAAAACGGTTAGGGTGGGAATATGAGATATAGCAATGACAAATTTTGCGTGAAGGTCATCTATGTAAGCAAGATATCCCCAGAAACAGAGTGAGATGGAGAAGTCGGTACGTAGCGGTTCGGGGGTTGCTCGTAAGACAGTTGTCTCTAAAGAGCACACCCGGAGCCGGAGCGAAAGGATAGAGACACGCTTGATAGAAGAATTGAAAAAAGATTCGACTGACTATTATTTTAGCGTTTGAAACCAGATTTCTCAAATCCTAATCCTACAGTAGAGAACTTGATTTTGCAGCATTCATCCAGTTTTTCATTATATTCAATTAACCTGTTGTTACATTTATCAACAGTGTTGTGCATTTTATTGAAGGAGTTCATATTTCAGCCTGATGCAGATGTTCCCCTCGGATGCCAACAGACAAAAGTTATCACGACCACAGACAGGAATTACGCAATCTTGTCTGTGGTACATAGAAGGATCCACACTAGACTTCGCCGTCTATCCCAAAATCGTAATATATTGGGAAACCCAAATCAACCCTATCGAGACGACCCACCGTCCCGAACTGATGAGGGAAAAGAAAGCCAGGTGAGGTCTACATTACTCAACAAAGCTAGCGGAAGTAGCTACTGACTGAGCAAGAGAGGAAGAAGAGACAGACCTCGAAGATAGAGCCGGGAGAGAGTGGCGTGTGAGTTGATAACTGAATAGGAGAGAGATCTGTGTTATAAGTATACAATGCCTTAAGCTTAATTGTCTACATACACGGATATTTAATAATTATCTTAAAATCTTCTCATGTATCAACATCTCTCAACATCTTTCACAGGAACGTCAAACATACGTATGTATAATAAGAACATCTCTACATACACACCTTCATTCACACCATTTTGTAGACTTTTCATTTAGTAATAAAATGATGTTAAATGTAAGTAATCGTTTGTATATTCATGCTTAGTGCTTCTTTTGAGGAGATACCTAACACATCTACTATCAACACCTAACACATCTACTATCAACACCTAACACATCCACTATCAACACCTAACCCCTAACACATTTACTATCAACACCTAACACATTCACTATCAACACTTAACACATCTACTATCAACTCCTAACGCCTAACACATCCACTATGAACACCTAACACATCCACTATGAACACCTAACACCCAACACATACACTATCAACACCTAACGCATCCCCTATCAACACCTAACACATTACTCATTTACTATCAACACCTAACACATCTACTGTCAACACCTAACACATCTACTGTCAACACCTACCGCCTAACACATCTACTATCAACACCTAACACATCTACTGTCAACACCTACCGCCTAACACATCTACTATCAACACCTAACACATCTACTATCAACACGAAATACATATACTATAACCACCTAACGCATCCACCATCAACACCTAACACCTTACACATTTACTATCAACACCTAACACATTCACTATAAACACCTAACACATCTACTATCAACACGTAACACATCCACTATCAACACCTAACGTCTCAACTAATATTACTATATTATCCTATCACTGAACTTGTGATTAACGACGAAGTTCCAAGGAAAATGGAAACTAAAATGTCACAAAATGGAAACAAAATAGGAAACAAAAATGAATCTGAAAGACGTTAGTTGAAATTTCTAGAGCACATAATGAGGAAGAGGGGGAGGTTTGGATAATTTGACACTCACGGGACATATTGAAGACAAGAAGGAAAGCAGCGAGTAACTATTACCTGATGAGCTTGTGTAGATATTTGACAGAAAGACAAACCATACTAAGAGCTACAAAGTACTGTAAGTTGTGGAGAGCCATGATTGTCCATATCCTGAAGGAACACGGCACATAAAAGATAAAGAAAGAAATATTCCTTAACAAATTCATGACACTCTAATGGAATCCGTAAATCTTAAGAAAATAAAATCTTTCACCGAAAGAACAAAACTATCTGAAAATAATTTGTCACATTCATGTTTCCTACAACAGAATCTTTCAACGCGCGTGGAATAAAATGCAGATAACTACTACTACTACTACTACTAATAGTATCCAGAATCTTCTACTTAACTCTTTTCCCTTTACCAATGCTGCTGTAATCAATATCGCTGACAGACAATCAGCTGCTACCACTTTAACACTACGTCTCTCACTGACGAATTTCAACATAGCCGGAAAAATTTCGCGAATGTAAGAGAAACTGCTGGAACTTGAAAATAACAATTTCCTACACAGTAGAATTCATGACAAGTTTTGCAGAATAAATAAATTAGTCATGAATTCCACTTCAATATAAGCTCTGTTTCAAGTCGGCAAAGTCAAATTCCACCAGACTGTAACAATTTCACCAATTGTAACGTTTAGAAAATTTCTTTGTTCGTAATAAACTGATGTCGAATTGATATTCGACATTAGTTTAATTGATTTTCGACATTTAATTTTCTAATTGTTAAAATCCACCAAATTTACAAATTCATGCTCCTAAAACAAGGCTACATTGGCTACATTGGAAAACGATGACAAATCTTTAACAACTACATATTTCAACTCACTGCTGTTTCAATGCGAAGCACATTACCGTTTCTCACCGAGAAGTTCACTGACATCTCAAATTGACCATTCATATCGTCATTCGTTAAGCTACAAAGAAATGCAACACTTTAAAACATTTCTATGTATATGTTCCCAATCTGGAGTAGAGTATTGCGTAATTAGCCCACTTGTCTATCAAAGAACTTCCACTAATGACCGCTTGCCTACACTGGATTTAAAGACACTGGAAATAGTATAAGTTTGTTTGTGCATAAATTGAGATGTAAAAGCTTCAAAGTAACCAAATGTTGCCCAGAAGTAAGGAAAAGGAAATTAATTACATGGATAAATAAAAACTTTCTGGATCAAGTCCCATTGGATGGGAAGTTAGAAATTCCGATTTTGGTCTTATATAGTCAGGCCTCATTCTAGAATAGGCCAAACACAGATTGTCGGCCGAGATGTGGAGAGAGGCAGTGAGTGACTGTCGTAGTTAGAGATGGGTACAGATGCAGTCGGAGTTCTCAGTAGTCAAAGGGAAGATCTGGTCCGTTAGTCTGTCGTGTGATGAGATAGAGAGGTAACAGTGAATATGTCCCAGGTGGATTCGATGAGTGACCAATAGGACTACACAACATTTGTTACACGAGAGAGAGAGAGAGAGAGAGAGAGAGAGAGAGAGAGAGAGAGAGAGAGAGAGATGTATCTAGAAATGATGGAATGGAAAGGAACGCTTGGTAATAGTAATAAACTCTGGATTTTTGTCGCTAAAACAAAATATATTCGTGATGACTTTCAGTGTTCATGAAAGAAACTTAACAATGATCACATTAATAATTAAAACAAAGGAAAACAAAAAGGGGTCATTTCTGAAGGTCATCAATCTAAATAGTTGGAGATCTTAAGTGACTGATTTTTTCCCCTCCTTACAAGATGGGGGAGGGAATTGATAAACAAATTAATTTTGCCCCGTATACGCGCAGATGTGGGGCAAAGGCAAAAATTACTCAACATCCCTCCCTCTGTGGCGCAAAGGTTTACCTACGGCCCAGCCATTTTCTGTCATGAGGAGGTACTGCTTTGGAAATGGAATCCCCAAGGAATAATCACATTTGCTTTATTGTCGTGTTCTGCCCCCAAACAATTGTCCAGTCCTACCGACTTTTGCTGCAGGTGTCAGGGCATATCCAATATCCTTAATCCGTTAGTATAATGGGGAGGTGTTGACTGGAAAAGGATCCCCAGGGGACAGACACGCATTTATTCATGCCAGTTCTGAAGGGCTGGAGAATACAGATACTACCCTCTGATTCTTGTTAAAAGTCTTGAAAAGATGGTTTTGCTTTCCTTCGATCAAATTCTTATATAGATTTGAAAACTTTTCGTTTCTTCTAATCACCGAGTTTGTAATTTTGAATTAAAACTTATTATTTCAACAAACAAGCTGAATGTTTGATTTCAGATTCCTAGTTTTATGGGAAATTCAGTTATATTGTTTCTGTGTGTAATTTTTTAAAGCCTTTATAACATATACTTAAAATTATCTTGTATTTTCGTATGGATGTAGGAATTCTCATGGGAGACAAGAGAAACAATAATTAGAAGGGAAAGTATGACCTGGAATTATAATATCCCAGGCGATATCTAGTGTCCTTGCTAAGATTTTATACCACATCAGAACTGTTGAAACGATAATCGTTCAAATCTTTTCAGGATGATGTTTTTTTTTTCTGTCAATTCCCATAAATGGAAAATTTATCGATCAACCTGTTAATTCTGTCTCTATCTCTGAACACAATCGTTCGCTCTCTGCTAGTCACGTGCTTTACAACTAGAAAAATAAACTGTCATCGTGAATAGTAGCGATTTTATAGTCAGTCAATGTCACGCCCTTTCGCGAAATTAATAGTTCAAGTTTCGGGGATGATCACTCAACGTAACTAATCTGAAATAATAAATGTATCGATATTTTTTTTTAAATTTTCTTCTTGTCAGGTTCAATTCATTAAGGTGCATTGACAATATAATATCCATTGTTATGTCATTGAATGAGATTCGCCTGAAAACTGAATATGCTGAAGCATATGATGATTACGGTAGTGCCTATAATCCCTAGAGCAATTGGAATCGTAATAAAAGCACTAAAATCAAGATTGGATGAATTCAATATTCGAGTAATGATTGGAGCTGTCCAGACTACAACGCTGATAGGATTTTAAAAATACTAAGATGTAATCCTCACCTCTCATCTAAAACCAGACATCACTCTCGCCCGGCTTTTTCTCTTCTTCTCTTTTTTTTCTTCTCTCGGGCGCTAGCTCCACTAGCTTTGTTGAGTAATACCGACCTTACGAGTCATTCAGCTTCCTTCTCCCTACCCTCAGTTGAGGTTGGTCTCGATAAGATTGATTCGGATATCGTAAGATATTGGAATTGATGGCGAAGATTAGTGTGAACTCCTTCATGTGCAACAAGGTACTTGCCCTGTCTAAACGTTTAAATGCATGAAATTACATGATGGTGATTTAGAGGGACTTCTAATTGGATTAAGTATTAACTTCCTCAAGAAAGTAGGTTGAATAGTTGAGAAGAAAATAAAAAAGAAACGCGTTAAAATTTATGTTTTAAAATAATAAAAGGAAATTAAGGACAATTCCAAGGAGAATCGAGCACAAATTTAACCAGACAAGAGTCAGTAAAATTGAGCAAAACCAAGATTCCCAACCCCATCCAGTTCCCGCCCATAAGAAGAAGACGATTAGTGTGTTGTCCGAAACCCTTGGGTCACGAAGAACTTAGAATTCGGACGCTTTGTTTACAATATGCTATCTTTAAAGAACGTGTGTTTTCACAAAGAATAATGATTTAAATTATTTTAGATAAAGAAAAAAGACATCTGTTTTGTACGAAGTCTCAAGATTTGGAAATTTATATACGTTGATCGCTCCAGGAATACAATTATGTTTACATAATGATATCTCGGAAGACTTTGAATTTAAAACTGTAATACTATATGACCAATTAGCAAGATCGACTAAGATTAAGATGTGCCTTTTTCTGCAACAATCCTCTGCAATTTTTATGGCTATCATTATTTTAGATTTCTCGTGAAGAATCTCTCACTGATAAAGAGGCCAACTGATCAATTTACGGGAATATGGATATAATGAAATTGGGCATTGTGAATTGTCATTTTCTGGGGCCTACCTAAGTAATGGAAGCCATTAATCATTGTTATCGGAAAAGATTTCCTTATGTAAAGCCATCGCGCATTTCACTTGGTGGTTATTTTTCCTGAGCGGGGAGCAGACGTCAGACACGAAAGAAACACCCGCAGATATAACGTATATAAGTGGTTCACACTAGTCTTCATGATCAAACCCAATATCGCAAACCCGAATCAAACCTATCGAGATGACACACCGACCCCAACCAAGGAGAGAAAAGAAAGTCGGATGACCTGTATGGTCGGTATTACTCAACAAAGCCAGCAAATGTAGCGACTCGTAACTGAGAGGGAAAAAAAAGAGAAGACATAGAGCTTGGAGCCGAGGGATTGTGGTTTGTGAGTTGAAAAATGATTGGTGTGTTGATAGATGTGTCAATGATAAACGGTTGTCAATGCGGTAGGTTACATATGTAGATGAAAAAGTGTGTGGAAGGCGAAGAAAAGAAATAATCTTCAAACCAGGCTCTACAAATTTAAATAATTTTATCATTAAGTATAGAAATAATCTTGGTTTTCTTTTAAGTTGAAACAAACTAGTTATAAAGTTCCTCGCAAACAAAATTCACACGAAAACTGTTTTGTTTTTCTTTTTACAACACAACACAAAAGAAATGAAATGTTAGTATAGGGTGAAAAGTATGTATGAATTTATTACGCGAAAATCGACGATTTACATTATTTTATGTATATGTGTTTAACGTGGCAGTCAGCCGATTAAAATATCAGCGACATTACCCTTTGACAACTACGCATTTTTTATAACTCGCTTGTATATTTTCGTAATATAAACTGTGCAAAATACTTTAAAAGCGAAAAATTAATTTGCAAGAAGGAACTTAGCACTCAATAATTTAATTTGAGTATGCAAAAATTTGAGAATTCAGTATTATTTACATCCCCGGTTGAAGATATACTGAAAAACTAACTTATTAATTTACATTATGCTATTTGTAAGAAAAAATCGAATCACAGGAAATTAAAAGTTAGATTTACTAAACTCAGAAAATTTACTGGTTGATAAATATATTTTCCAATTTTTAATTTCGATTTTGAGGATGGAAAAGATTGTTAATTATTTTCTGGCTGTGAACCTTCAATTTTTTTAACATATGACTCTGCCACTTTCCACGGCACCAAATCTACCACTTCGTCCCCAGCCCCTCAACCTCCGGCGTCTTCCTCTTTGAGTTGAGGTGTCCACTCGGTCCGAACCGAACTTAGGGGTAACTGGCCGTACGCTCCCTGAGTACCCGTAGATTATTTCGGCCGGTCAACTGGTCAAGTCCTGCTTGCTTCCCACACTGTGTTAGTTTTTAGATCCAGTAAGTGGGGTGTTGTCCATACGTCCACGGTCGACTGGGGGTGTGGACACGGCTGTGAGAGTTGGCGGTAGGAAGTTTAGAATGTGGCAAAATAAAACAAGAAATAATATCTGCAGAAGCCAGACAACAATGGGGGAAATATTGACGTCTTTTATATAAGAAGATAACATCAGAACAGAGGTTACAGGGAGAATAAAAACATTTAACATAAATGAGAAAAGAAAAAGAAAAAGACACAATGCATCCAGCGAATTCCCAACAGAGAGGGTTGTGTGTGATAAATGCGTATTGAATCGCCTGGGGTAGGTTTATGATTAGTAGTCCAGTCTCATTCTCCGAGTCTCTCCCCCGTCTCCTTTCTCGTCGGCCTTTCTCGGCTGTCTTGTAGCGCCGCGATCCGTAACGGTCGCCTGCGGGTGCTCACGCACGTGACGACGATGTGCCGACCGATCGCGGTCTCTCCCGTCTGGCCTCTTCCGTCTCGCTCGACCGTCTGCCTCTTGTCAGCATAACTACGCTGGTTTATATAGATAAATCTGTCTGATCATGAATCGACCCTTGGCCCGGCACGCGATTATCATGAGTGCCAATTATTTACTACGATTTCTTCTCGCTTCCCAAAAATTATACTTCGGGATATCTAAACATTGATTCAACCTTTTAATGAAAATAAATACTGTTAAACAAAACCAAATATCTCGTAGCCTGAGTAAGCGCTATTTCAATTTTTAACCGATAAATTTTATTTAGATCATTTTTTCATTGTATTTTCTATTGACCCAGATTTAAAACATCGCCTCCTGCCTGAGATCGTGTTTCTCATCGGTAAACACACATCTTAACCCAAATTGTACTTTGATATATAAACACCATTGCCACTTCCAGTCAATAAAAGTTATATTTGCGTGTGTGCATTCATGTGAGAGTGTAAGTGTATACCTCTCTGTTATGATGTTAATTTGGGGTTAATAAAGACAAACGCCAAATAACATGTAACAATAAAATGGGGTTTATTCGGTTGGTAAGTTGGTACAGATATCGCCTGAGTAGTCTATAACTAACTCAGCTCAGAACTTCTTAATATTTATTTGCATTTAAAATACAAAATACGGCACAAGGTCAAAAGAGGGGGATGGGGAATGACGGTCTTTTTCTGTCTTTAATCTAAAACTTAGCTAGTCACAGACACTGACCCAAACATGCCAACAATAATCCAATCACCAAAACATCACATTCACTCCTACCTTTCTTACTACGTCCACCATAATACCTCAGTTTCTCTATGACGTCCTAACTAGTCCCCTTATATACAGAAATTGTTCATGGGGGGATGGTCATAAAATAACAACTTTTAAAATCCCCAAATGAATATTTACAAAGTGAATTAATTATTTACAATAAACTAAACAAAATTGAGTTAGTAATAAAACCCCCACAAACTATGAATGTGGCAGAAATATCAGTTAACCGGACGAAATCGATGCGGGACTAAGAAAATAAGGACACATTCAAACCAACAAGCGTTCACACAAACACTCACTCATTCACACACAACAACAAATACGAAAACACACACACGAAACGAAAGGCGCCCCGCATCCACCAGAAAACTGACATCACTAACCACCTAAAGAGGGAGGGGATGGGGAATTAAACAAAAGTAAAAAATAGGGACAGAAATAAAAGGGACCAATGAGCTTACATACCCTAGCTAAGTTAACCGGGAAAAAAAAAAAAACTAAAATTCAAAAAACGAAACTAGCCTAGTCTGGGTGGGTTGCCTATGTTTCAACCCTATTAGGACAAAATTCTGTACCTAACCGACATCTAAATGCCACTCTAGGTCAGCCCCTTTCACTCTACACATTCGCGCAAGATTCACCCACCTTTTGCCGAATTCTGATGATGGGAGCCGCCGCCTTTCCGTCCTAATCTTGACTTTAAGCTGATGCTTAAAGTACAAGATCAGTTGGGAAGAGGTGAACTTCTCGCCTTCATAGAATCCCTTCTGTCGCGTCGTCCAAATCACGACTCGCATAGCCCCTAGTAAGCAACAGAACACATAGTGTTCAGCCTTCGTCAATTGCGGCACCACATTGCTACAAACAGAACTGGCTTCCAGGACAAAAAACTTTCCCTGCAGCATGCGAACCATGAGGCCTTCAATAAACTTGCACAACCTCACTACCGTCCTGCACTGAAAAAAGGCGTGACCAATGGTCTCGACATTCCCAGTACAGCGACGACAGTTTGGATATTTCTCCAAGCCTGCTGAACAAAGTCTTTTGCCGACCCAGAGGGCCCCACGAATCATCAGCCAGGTGAGTGATGCCTCATCGTTAGTGAGACATTTCAACCCAGGCGCCCAAGGCCATATCAAGCGAGCCTCCTGCTTCGTAAGACCGAGCTCGTCGATCAGAGTATCTCGAACGGACCCCCTAACTAACAATCGATATAATGCCTTACGAGACAACGCTTGGGCGTCGGAGAGGCCATCCGACGTCCGCAAGAGGAGCTTCAAAGCACGACGACATTCACGGTAGAAGGAGCACTCGACACGAGGAGTACGGCCGGCCTCCTCCTCGCACGAGTGCACACTTTTCAGGGATGGGAAATGTTTTCGGACATCTTCTTTCCAAAAGGTGCCCACCTCATCCAAACCACGACACATTCGGTCTAGAAAGGTAATGCGAAGCATATATTGACGAATCTCAATGCTAGGCATACCCAGACCGCCCTCAGAGGGATGAAGGCAACAGATCTCGCGAGATGCCATATGGGCCTTGCCTCTCCACAAGAAAGAGAACAAAGCCTGGAGTAATGATATTAGTCGGGCATACGGGAGAGGAAGCACAGAAAGACGGTAGAGGAGGATCGGATAGATGTGTGAAACACATACTTCCGCCCTTCCCTTCAGGGAAAGTCTCCTCCGAGACCACAGATTACCCGCGGCCTCGGCCTGCCCTTGTACCTCCGACCAATTCTTTTCCAACTGGAGATCAGGACCGAACCAGACGCCGAGTATCTTGATCGGCCCGTCCGTCCAGAGGAAAGATCCGGGAAGAGAAACTCCCTTCCACGCACCCAACCGCAAGCCCACAGACTTATCGCGGTTGATCTTGGCCCCTGTCACCATCTCATACCCACTGATCTGCTTACTGACTTCGTTAATCTCGGCTCTGCTCGACACAAGAACCGAAACGTCGTCAGCATAGGCAGAATACCTGGCCGAGGTGGAAGCACCAGGCAGCGAAATTCCGCGTAGGACCGGATTCGCCTTTAACTTGCGAAGGAATGGCTCCAAGGCAAGAACGTAAAGCAGAGGCGATAGCGGACAACCTTGACGAATGGAGCGAGACAATACGAAAGGCTTCGATCTTACCCCATTCACTTCCACCAGCGCACCGGGGTCGCATACAAGAGTCGGATCCAGGAGCGAAAGTCGGCTCCGAAACCGGCCGCCGAAAGGACAGCCTCCAGAAATCGATGGTCAACCCTATCGAAGGCCTTGGACTGATCTAAATTGATCAGCGCGGCTTCACTGTCGACTTGTTCTAAGATCAAGCGTACCATATGAAGGTTATCCTGAATAGTCCTGCCCTTCACAGCACAAGTCTGTTCAGGGCCAATCAGACTAGACAGGACAAGCTGCAAACGGTTGGCTAAGATCTTCGCCAAAATCTTTAAGTCAGTGTTTAACATCGTTAAAGGGCGAAAGTTCCCTAACCCATCCCCACCGTCCTTGTCCTTACGCAGCAACTTGATGACACCCCTGGTGAAGCGTTGAGGTAAAGACCCTGCCTCATCCAGTGGTTGTACATCAGTTCCAGCAAAGGAACAAAAACGTGCGACAACCTCAAGTAAACTTCGTAGGGAAGACCATCTAATCCCGGAGACTTATCCAGGCCAACCTGCTTCAGCGCTTCCCAGATTTCCGACTCTGTTATGGGACCCTCGCACCTAGCCACTTCAGCTGCCGAGAGGCAGGGAAAGTCAGCTAAATAGGCGTCGAACTGAGCAGAGCTCAGACCGGGCTCCCTGGTGAAAAGCTCCTGAAAGTAATCTCGAAAGACCTCACATATGCCCGCGTTTGTAGTCACGGTCCGCTTATCCGGTAATGTGACGCACGCTATATGTCGCCTGGCCGCGTTTCGATTTTCCTCTACACGCAGTTCAGCGGCCATATTCGTTGCCTCAGAAGACATTCTTTTTAACCTAGCCCTAACTACCAGAGCTTGATCCTTCTTGATAAGCAATGTCCCCACTAACACGGGATTTCACGGCCCGATCAACTTTTTCTTCTAAAGCCGTTTGCGCCGTTAATCTATCTAGATTGAGTCGACGACTAAAATCGGCAGCAAACGTTCGAATCTTAGATTTTAAATTGCCCCACCAGGCATTTCCCACAACCGCTCCCGTCAATTCCCTTTGGATCGTTAGTAACAGCTGGTCCCGGAAACCCTGATCACCAAAAAGCGAACAGTTCAATTTCCAGTAACCAGCCAACCTAACCTTAGGCTTATCTAAGTTTACACGGACCCGGACAAGCCTATGATCCGTATAAACTATATAATGGAAACTTGGACACCCTAAGAGCCCTACATCGACTCTCCTAATTAAGACACGCGACCAGGAGCCGAGTTGCCACTAGTTGTCCAAGTCCATGCTACCTCCCGATGGTGTTCATTCCGGAACTTATCGACGAGATCAAACCCATCGATAAAGTCCCGAAATGGTTTCACATCCGGGTTGTTAGTACCTTTTTTATGCCCTATACGATCTATATCGGGGTCAAGGACGGCATTCCAATCCCCCCCTAAAACTACCCGACGAGACGTCGTCAAGAACGGCGCGATCTGCCGAAACAAAGCAGGCCGCTCGGAATGGATATTGGGCGCATAAACCCCAATGAGACGAAGAACCTTATCCTTTATGGCAACATCCAGCACGCAAAGCCTGCCCGCCGGATCCGCGAAGACAAGGGTACATGCAACCTTCAAAACATGCTGAATAAAGGGCGAACCCCTTAGACAGTATGTCCTCACGATCATGAGAAGAAAACTGGGTCTCTTGTATACAACATATATTCACCCCGAGGCGCTGAAGGTCACGAGAGAGCCTCGCCCTGCGAGACTCGGACCTCAGGCCCCGGGCATTCAAACTAGCTAACCAAAGTGCCATTGTGAAACCGATTAGGGTTGCCCTTCAGGATAGAACATGGCTGGGGTGAGGACACCGACAGATCGTCCCATGGATCCCGACGCCATCTCATTCTCGACAGTATCGTCCTGAGACAAGCCACCGATGTCCGAAGGGTAGGTGAGTTTAAGAGCTCTATAAAGGGATGGGTGAACGAAAACTGGGACCCTCCCTTTAAGTTTCTGGTTTGCATCATCATTATCTGGGTCTAGAAGGTAGGCAGCAGGGGGCACCATTTTTAGAGATGACTGGGCCTCCTCTATCATGCCCCAAATCTCCCGCGTACCCGGGCCAGTTCTTATA